CCAAAAAAAAAAACCACACCTTTCAGGCTCAGTTTAGGTGCTGCAGCTTCCCTAAATCCTTTTGTAGCTTTTCCACCTGGAGTTATTTCCTAGGACTGGCTGCGCGTTGACAGTTGCTCCCTCACCCATATCCCAGTTCCAGGATCTTGGGCAAGTGACTTAGCCTCTGAAGCCTTTACAAGAAAAATAGTACCTATCTCAAGGGGCATTGTGAAGTTACCTTAGTAGCATATGCCATTTTGTTAGACCAGTGCCCCACAGTGAAGCAGTCAGTGCCCCACTGTTGGTCACTTGAAGTTAGAAGCACCACTCTGCAGTTCTCTACACAGATATGGAAGCTGTGTGGTGTGGGGAGGATATACGCCTTGCAGAGGGCAAACTTTAGTGGGACTTTGGGTCAGGTACCCTAACCTGAGCCTTAATTCCCTGATCTCTGAATGGCTTTCTGTGAAGCTGGCTAGCGTTTGCTTAGTGCCTGTTGTGTATTGGCACACAGTAGACAGTCAGCTAGTGCTTTGGGTTGTTCAAGTAAGGGAGATTGGATATATTCTGTTTCTTAAAGGTAAAGTCATTTGACAGGTGTAAATAGCTGCCGGTGCCCAGCTGTGCCACATCCAGGGTCACAGAGATGAAGAGGGGACAGACAGATGCTATTATTGGGGTCTAGAAGGGGCAGGGGAGCTGCCACAGAGGAGAGCCCAGTCTGATTCTTAGGGCCAGGATGACGCCCTGGGACTTGAAGACCCACCAGAGCATTGGAGGGTTCAAAACCCTATGGAAGCGAGGTCTAGAGAGGCACAGTTATTGTCTCTAAATTCTAAAGTTTCTTCCTAGTTATGGAGCACTTGTGGCTGCTTAGTTGGTGAGCCAAGGAGGGGAATGGGACAGTGTCCTAATGCTGGGCTAGCTGGCGGCTCTTCCTGTGTCATCCTCAGTTATGGGTTGAGGCTTAGGCTAAGGTCCCTCAGCAAGGGACAGGCAGAACTGGCCCAAGGCCCATTCCCCTCCCCTTTTTTCTGTTTTGACCTCAGGCAGGTGGAGTGTGATGATGCAATCAGCCAGCTGTGGGATGACCTTTAGGGAGGCAGTGTTGTGGTTATGCTGCCTTGTAAGGCTTGCACTGAGCTCCTTTGAGGATATCCCCTTAGGTTCTTCAGAGTACCTCCAAGGCACCTACCTGTTCTCTGGTGTGACACATAAGATGCTAACTCACAGGTCTTCTGTTTGCAGGCTATGGGGCATGGAGTGCTGGACCCACCAACACCCAGGGTAGGTGGGACCTGCTGTGTGGGGAGGCATGGGCTTCTGGGATCCCCGTCCCAAGGCACCAGATTGACAGAGCTATTTCTGAGGCTGCACCCGGGAACAGTGGCCTGTAGCCTGGAGAGGCATATATGGGGGGATGGGGGTGCAGCCCAGGGACCAGGAAACCTTCTGTAAAGGGCCAGATAGTAAATTTTTTCGACTTTGCAGGCTACATGATCTTTGTAGTGCAGAAGTCACCACAGATAGTTTATAAACAAATAGATATGTCTGTGTTTCAATATATTTACTGAAGGACACTGACATTTGTATGCCATATAATTTTTCATGTGTCATGAAATAGTCTGTTGTAGCAATTCGTTATCTTAATCTAAGTAAATAGCTAAGCTGAGTGTATAACCAAACACTTTTTAAATTAATGGACTTTATTTCTTAGTAGTTTTAGATTTATAAGATTAAGCAGATACAGTATGTTGAGTTTCATACGCTTGCCCTACCTTCACCCCTACACAGTTTCCCCTATTAACATCTTATATTAGTGGGATACATTTATTACAATTAACAAGCCAATGTGGATACACTGTTATTATCTATAGTCCCTAGTTTACTTAATACTTACTCTGTATTATATAGTTCTGTGGGTTTTGACAAGTATATAAGTGATGTATATCATGCCATAAAATACTCTTTTGATTTTTCTTTTCTTCCCCAACATTTTAAAATATAAAACTCTGCCCTAGCCGGTTTGCCTCAGTGGTTAGAGCGACAGCCTGTGGATTGAAGGGTCCTAGGTTAGATTCCAGCCAAGGGCATGTACCTCGGTTGCAGGCTCAATCCCAGGCCCCAGTCAAACACGTGTGGGAGGCAACCAGTTGATGTGTCTCTCACATCAATGTTTCTCTCACCCCACCCCACCCCTAAAAGCAATGGACAAAATATCCCCAGGTAAGGATTAAAAATAAAAAGTTAAAATATAAAACCCATTCTTAGCTTGTGGGCAGCTGTATAACAATTGGTGATGGGCTAGATTTGGCCTGGGGCCTGTTTGCTGAACCCTGTTCTGGAGTCCAATTCGTGGCACAAAGTGCATTTGAGGGACCAGAATGTGCTCTGGTTACCGGCTAGCTTTTTGCGGTGTCTGTTCCAGGGGATGGGACCTGTCTGTTCCAGGGGATGGGACCATGGCTTCCTTTGTTTTCTGAGCGTGGGACTTGCCCCTAGCACCATTGGGGGCAGGGTCACTTCTCTGCCCCATCACCAAGTTTCCCAGGAAGAGGCCTTTCATGTCACTCAGACACATAATATACCCTTGCTCATTTGAGCTGGGGATATGATTTTTCACTGGTGCACTCTCCATATTTTTGGTGGTTGATGCCTGAGCTCTGGCTTCTAGTGAATGTTAGCACTTTAGAAGGGCTCTGCCTGGCCCTAGCCCACTGGCTTCTTGGCTGGTGACCCACACTGGACAAGCTTTCTGAGAAGGCTGCAGTGTCCTTCCCATTGCCTTGATGGTGGAGACAGGGCTTGCCTAGGAGGGAAGCCCTGATTTTGCTTAGCCGAGTGCGCTTTAAGAAATGAGTTTTATAGCCAATGGGCCCAGCCTTTCCTCGTCTTAACAGGCAATGAAGGGTGCCTCCCAGAGTGCTGCCATAGCCACCTGCAGCCTTGGCCCTATGGATAGTGGAGTGAGGTGACAACTGTCCAATAGCTGGGGGGTGGGGTGTCTCAGAAGCCTTCATTCTGCAAACAAAGCCTTTGTGTGTTCTTGTTTCCTCTAAGGTGCATATGGAACTGGTGTTGCCAGCTGGCAAGGTAGGCCCTTTTGGGGGTCAGTGGGTAGGTAAGGGGGCCTCTGATGAGCCACCCAGAGGAGCTGGTATGCAGGGACCCCTATCTCCCCTCCTAGCTGTGCTCACAGCTCTCCTGAAGGCTTGGCAGACTGGGCCTGAGGTGCTGAGGAGGCCTCAAGGGGAACTTGTAGGAGGTGAGGGGGGGTATGTTTCTGTTCTGGGAGCAATATCTCCGTGGTGGATCTGTTAACAGCCCTAACTGCCACTGCTGGGCTCTCAGCCACCTCTAGCTTTGGGTGAGAAGCAAGCCTTAGGATCTGACAGAGAAAATCTGCTCAGAGTTGAAGTCTCACCCTGCCTTCCTCCTTATGCCTTTATGAGCTGTACAAAGGCATTGTGGGTGTGCAGTGTGGGTGATGCCAGGAGCACTTGGTCCCATGACCCACTTCCTTCTCTGATGCCAGTGGATACTCTTCCCCAGACATGTTCACCGTGGACCAGCCTTGTGGCTGCTGAGGTCTAACTTGACTCTTCTTCCCCCTGGCAGGTTATGACAACTACAATTATTATGGTGCCCAGAACACCAGCGTTACTACAGCAGCAACCTACAGCTACGGCCCAGCCTCCTGGGAGGCCACCAAGGCTGGTGATGGCCTGGCGGCTGGGGGCCCTGCCATGCATATGGCCTCTTATGGGCCAGAGCCAAGCACTGACAATTCCGACTCACTCATTGCCAAGATCAACCAGCGTCTAGACATGATGTCCAAGGAAGGAGGCAGGGGTGGGAGCAGCACCGGTGGGGAGGGCATGCAGGACCGGGAGAGGTAATTACAGACCTGAGCTCTTCCCTGGGGATCCGAACACCATGCTTTGTGCAGACAGGAGTGGGCACCTGCTCTCCCAGGAAGGCTCTTCCCAGGCTCCCTCCTGAGCATGGGTAGATGAGTTGGGCCTTTAGGACAGAGGCATTGTAATTGGACTTGCTAGTTTCCTCAGTGATGGGGTTTAGGGCATGACTGTGGCTAAACTATGCTAGACTCCTTATTTCTGCACCAGGAGCTTAGGAGAGCCTCCCTGCTCTTGTGGCCAACGGCTTGTGCCCTCATTCATCAGTGTTTGGAGGGGAATATTGGTCTGTTTTGTCTCTGAGCATTTAGGAGGGGCAAGTGGTGGTTTTGTTTGCTTTGCTGTTCTGAGTGTAGGGAGGTCAGCTTTGCAGGAAGTGTTGAGGTCGAATCCAAAGCATGTAGTGATGGTTGTACTTTCTTTGCAGTTCCTTCCGCTTCCAGTCATTTGATTCCTACGACTCCAGGTCTTGTCTGCCTGAGCACAATCCCTACCGCACCAGCTATAGCTACAACTATGACTTTGACCTGGGACCTGACCGCAATGGTGGCTTTGGTGGTCAGTACAGTGACTGCCGGGACCCCACCCGTGAGCGGGGCTCTGTCGATGGCTTCATGCGGAGCCGGGGTCAGGGCCGCTTTCAGGACCGGAGCAACCCCAGCACCTTTATGCGCAGCGACCCATTCATGACATCAGCAGCCTCCTCGGATCCCCTTTCCACTCCTTGGACAGAGCTGAACTATGTGAGTGGGCGGGGCCTGGGAGGCCCCTCCCCCAGCAGGCCCCCATCTTCTCTTTTCTCCCAGTCTATGGCCCCCAACTATGGAGTGATGGGCATGCAGGGGGCAGGAGGTTATGACAACGCTGTGCCCTACAGATGTGGCCAGTCACAGACCCGGATGAAGGATTGGGTAAGGCTTTGCAAAGTTCTAACTCACCTTCCTTGCTTTGCTTTTTAAACAGCTTTATTGAGATAAAACTTATAGATTATAAGATTCTTTTTTTTTTTCAGTGTGACTTTTAGTAAAATTGTGTAGAATTGTGCAACGTTCACCATCATCTAATTTTAGAAGATGTCTGTCAACTGAGAAAGAAATTTCTGTCATTAGCCGTCACTCCCTGTTCTCTCCCCTGACCCTTGGCAGCCATTAACTGACTCTCTGTCTCTAGCGATTTGCCTGTTCTGGACATACCATGTGAATACAATATGTGTCCTTTTGTGTCTAGCTTCTTATATTCAGCATAATTTTTGGTGGGGGAGGGCATTAAACTATGTCATCTTTCTTTGTCTTCTGAAAAGACCTTATCTATCTTCTCTGATCTTATAACCTCTTCATTTTTCATTTCTCTGGGGTATCTTAATGGTTCGGGTAAGTGGTACATCAGGATGTGCTTGTGTCTGTAGCCCAGGTGGAGAGGGTTTGACCGCTGTGGCCTAGACGGCATGGGCAGGAAACGGAAGCAGTTGCAAATCTATGATGAGCCGGATGCCAAACAGGCCCGGGCTGACAGCGAAGGAGATTTTTCTGAAAATGGTATGCCTTGGGAGTGGGGTACTGTGAATTTTCAGTGGGTATAAGATGAATCAGTTGCATGTTTAGTGCTCTGTCTGCCTGTCAGCCAGGCTCCCACAGTCCCCACTGAAATCAGGATAAGCTTGGACACTTGGGACAGTGAGCTTGGGAGGGTGAAAACAATGGGCCAGCCACTGAGGGGCTGATTTTCCTGTTCCCTTTGTGTCTGGTAGATGATGGTGCTGGTGACTTCCGGTCTGGAGATGAAGAATTCAGGGGTGTAAGTCCTCCTTCACTGGTCAGCCTTCTTTGTCTCTAGTGCAGGATTTCTTATTTTAGCTTCTTTCTCACAGAGGCGGGAACTGCTGCTATGGTAGACTCACCTCTACCTTAAAAGTGGATTTAGTATCCTGACTTGCAGCTAGGTTTCTAAGAGTGTTCCACTTGCAACAATCCTTCCCCTTCCTGAAGAAATTCCCAGCCTCCTGCACAGCTGCTCCTGTGTCCTTGTAGTGATGTGCCTAGCTGCACATGCGGTAAGTGCAGTGGCTGTGCAGGCTGAGGCTTGCAAACATGTACTGAAGACTGCCAGCTTTGTGCTGATGCTGAGCTGCATTCAGGTCATTCAGTCCTTCCATCCAGTCATGGTAGACAGGTGTTTAAGGCCAGCTCTTAGCCAGGACCACGCTGAGGACCTGGAGAGTGAGCCTTTGCCACCCCCTGTAAATTCTGATCCAAGTCTGGGGTAGGGCCCTAGATCTGTGTGTATGAAGGGTTTGTACAGATGCTTCTAATGGTCAAGCGGATTCGCTGAAGGTGGGAGGAGTGGGATGTGGGATACAGTGAATTTTTAGTTTTTCTGAGGGTCTTACTTGCCCCCTTGTCTGTTTTGCTTCAGTCTTGAGTCTAGGAATCACTGTGTTGTACCAGCTGATTGGTAAACTAATCTTTGTCTTGGTGCCTAAGAAGTGGACTCCCTTTCCATTTTCAGTTAGATGATCAATTTTATCTACACCTGATTTTTTACAGCTTTTGGTAAATACAAACAGATGGCTGGGAAACTTGGTAAAACCCATTTTCAGTAAAGCACTGGAAGTAGCATCCTACAAATTGGGGTTTCTTGACAATTGATGAATGAGCTCCTGGCATTCCCATGTGCAGAGCTGTGCAGGTGTACATTGCCAGAGGCTGTTCTTTAGCTTTAAAAAGAGCTGAAAGAGGGCCAGTGTCTTTAATAAAAAAGCAAAGCAAATTAGCCATCATCACAGAATCTCAGAAGGCAACCAGTAGTGACAGGACACATTCAGGTTTTATCCCATGGCCCTGGGCCTTGTCCTAACACATTGTGACTGGGTTCCTGGTAGTACAGCAACTATCAGGTGGTGGCAGGGAGCTAGGCTGGTGTGGGGAGTTCAGGAAACTGCCTCACTACCCGACTTCGTGTGTGTCCTTTTTCAGGAGGACGAATTCTTCGACTCCGGGAGGCAGAGAGGTAGGCATTGCCCATTGTCCCTTTGAACTTTCCTGTGTCTGCCTGGCTGTCCTGCACACACTGCCCAACTCTCAGTTGAGTTTGATTTCTGAGGAAGCCTAGGTCCTGGATGGAGGGGCTGACGGCTCAGGGCAGAAGAGGGGCCGTGATTGCTGGGTGGGCCTTGGCCATGGCACTCACCCCAAGGCTTTCCTCCATTATTTAGAGCAGCACTTGCTGGAAATGGGTCTGTTTGCCTCAATTAATGGAGAGAGACAGGGAAACTCATCTGTGGGTGTCCGCAACAGCTTGCAGTGATAGTGAACGTAGTCTCAGAAACATAAGAGAGAAAAAAACAGGTGCCCTCCAGCCTGTCTTCTCAGTTACCCTTGCCCAGTACAGGTACCCGTACTGTTTTCTCCTAGGCTCCATTCTTTCCACCATATCCCTCCTTGCCAGTCCAGAGCTGTGCTCTCAGCCTCTCTGGTGGGGGTCCTGGCAACTGCAGGGCATGTTGCTGCATGGGACAGAGTTCAGACACCTGCCTGGATTGGGAGCTCAGGGCAAGGGGGGAGGCTGTCAGGTATATCCAGACCCAGATACCCCAGAGGCAGTCATTGCTCATTGCTTAGCAGGTCCTATCAGTTCCAGTGCCAGAGACCTAAGGGTCCAAATTCATCAGCAGAAGCAAAGCCAAATTAAACTTCTGGTGGGTATGGAGAAGCAGCCTAAGACATGGCCTTGAGCTTACCCAAAAGCCACTTTTCCTGTTCCCAGGGGTCTGTTCGAAGCTGGTTTCCCCCCAGAATCACAGGCTGGCTCTGCTCCCATCAGTTCTGAAGGTCCCTGGCTTAGATACTCCTTCCCTTATGTGTTCAGGCTTGGCTAACCCTCTCAGGTCCTCTTACCCTGTTGAAGTGATTATGTTTGTAGCATGGGTCCACACAGCATTGAACAGCTCATGCAGCAGGGAAAATGCTAAAGCAAAGGTGACGTGTTTATTGCGCGCAGGTCCTGCTATCTACCCGGGATGACTTTGCTATTAAACAGCAGTAATAGTTTCAGGCAGTGACCTCTTGCCAAAAATCCCACACGCCCTTTTGAGAGGCTTCTGAGCAGCGCACGCCGGTCGCCATCTTCGTGGGACAGTCTCGTGACTGGCATCAGGGGTAGGGGTTACAGTTCAGATGCTTATCCAACCTGTTTTCAGTGTCTGGCCCTGGCTCTGAGCCACGGTTACCTGGCCTGGCCTCACGCTGGGGATACTGGGCTGCACGGCTCTCAGAGCTCCTGCGCTGGCCCCAGGGGATGGATGGAGGACCGATAGGTCTCTTCCCACTTCTCTTTCTAGGATTGCTTCCCACATAGCCCTGGGAAAGTCCTAGAGTGACAGTTTTTGTGAGTGGAAGATAGAGTTTGGGCCAGCAAGGACTAACAGACCTGCTGAGGCCCTAGTTCAGAGGAGGCCTATGGGATGGTTGTCGTGGTCTACTTAGATGTGGGAAGGAGGGAGGTAGAACAGCTTGCTTTATTTTCTGAGGCCTTCTACGTGCTGCCTCTTTACCTAAGAAGAACTACTTCTCTCTCTCTTAACTGATGTTGGGAGAAGACCCACTCATAGGGCACTGGATTGGAAAAGCAGGATAGGGAAGGACAGAGAGAGCAGGTGGGCCTTAGTGTGAGTGGGATGGGTGGGCCATGTCCCTGGCCCATCCTAGCCTTATCAGGCCATGGGGGGAGTGAGGTATCTCTCCTGGGAACTCCCAAGTGTTCTCATCCATGCTCATCGTTGTTGGGAGCCTTTGACATCCCCTTGGTGCCTCAGGGTGTCCTGACCCTGCCATATATGGAGGCAGCAGCAGGGCACAGGGTGCGGTGGCCAAGCTGCAGCCCCATCAAGGCCCTGGTGCTCAGCTCCTCTACAGACTCTACAGAGGGTCTTGAAGGGATTTCTCTGTTGCAGGAGAGAAGGATGACGAGGATGACGAAGTGAAGAAGAGAAGGGAAAAGCAAAGGAGAAGAGATAGGATGCGAGACCGAGCAGCTGACAGGTGAGGTGGGAGGTCAGCTGGACCTGAGCACTGTCAAGGCCCACCTGAGCTCATCTGTCTTCACTCCATGATGCAAGGGGAGCCTGGTTTGAGCTGACTCCAGTTGTCTGTGGGGAAATCCTAGTCAGGGCGGTGGGAGACAAAACTTGGGAAACACGAACAGAATCATATCCTTGCCAGAGGGTCCCTGTGGCCCTCATGTGCTCAGCCAGGGGCTCTAATGTCCTGCACACCTGTGGGGAGTTTCCTTGTCCCCTGGCTTGTGTCTGTCATCCCAAACAAGTATTTTTCGTTAAGCGGAGCTGCTAAGAAGGTGCTCGGGTGGGTTGTCCAAATCTAGACCACCACTGGAGTTTGACTTAACTGTTACACACGTATAGATATTACCTTCAAGGTTGTCTTTAAGTAGAGAAAAGAAGCACAAAAACATGAAGCCCAGAGTGTTGGTGTGACCACACCATGCACCTCTCTCCCTGTTCAGTTATTTAGTGGTTGCTGACTAGAAAAGTAAACCACTGGTGGCTATGGGAGCACTTAATTGCTGAGGTCTTAACCACACATAACTGCTTCTGTATGCACAGGCTCTCTTAATGACTTGAGGGGTACTCCTTGCTCTTAAGCACCTGGAGTAGTGATTTTCCTGTGCAAAGAATGCTTAGCAAAAGGGTTAACAGGCAGGGAAGCCAGGAACCAAGAAGTAGGAGCTTTCAGGTATTACAAAAATTCATCAAAACTCTTGTTAAACAGATAGTAAGTGATAGCTAGATTTGATCTATTTTCATGTCACATGAGAACTGAGATGACATTTTTAACAGTTCTGCACATAGGGCCTGGGTGATTTTTTTCCGCTTCACTCCTCTGTCAGGGTATCTACAAAAGCTTGTGGCACTTGTCTAGAGATCCAACCCAGGTGTTGGAGGCCAGCAGATCTCCTGAGTTGGGAGAGGAGTTCTGAATGCTGCAGGGCCTGTGCTCTTACCCCAGAAGATCCAGAGGCTCCTGGGCAGAGCCAAGGGAAACAGCACTGCACTGTGGAGGTGTGGTCTACAGGCCACTCTCTTCTCACCTTACAACATGATTGCCTTTGTGAGACTTTGAAAGCACATGACAAAGAAACCTTAGTTTTTATCCATGAATTTGACATAGTGTGCCTTTACATTGAATCCTGTGGGAGAACTGTTCTTAGGTCATATGAATTTTTTTTTTAATCCTCACCTAAGGATGACATCCTTAGAAAGAGGAAGGGGGGGAGAGAGACTGATGTGAGAGAGAAACATTGATTGGTTGCCTTCTGTATGTGCCCCAACTGGGGATTGGACCCACAACCCAGGTATGTGCCCTTATAGGGAATCGAACCGGCTACCTAAAATGGAGTTGCCTAAGGCCTTTGGGCCAAAAAGACTGGTATGGTAGGAAATTGCTACATGAATTATTTTCCTAAATACTCTCGAGGTGGTACTCCCATCCCTAGGATGAAGAAACAAGGAAACTGCTATATTTTAAAAATATATATATATCTTTATTGATTTCAGAGAGAGGAAGGGGGGGGAGAGAGAGAGAGAAACATAAATGATGAGAACCATTGATTAGCTGCTTCTTACATGTCCCCCACTGGGGATCGTGCCCTCAACCTGGTCATGTGCCCTGACCGGGAATCAAACCGTAATCTCCTGGATCCTAGGTCGGTGCTCAACTGCTGAGCCACGCCTGGCTGGGTGGAAACTGCTATTCTTGGTACCCCGTGAGAAGTCAGAAGTTTTGGATCAGAAATTGCTTTCCCATTTCTGTTTCAGTTCTAACCAGAGATGAACTGGTTATCCCTGCATCACTGTTCTTGCTTTTTGTCTTCCTTCTCCAGGATTCAGTTTGCCTGTTCCGTGTGTAAATTTCGTAGCTTTGAAGATGAAGAAATCCAGAAGCATCTGCAAAGCAAATTTCACAAAGAGACACTGCGATTTATAAGTACCAAACTGCCTGACAAGACGGTCGAGTTCCTTCAGGTGAAGCACACTTGGCCTCTGTCACATTGTTTCTTGCTGATCCTACAGGTGTCAGATCCCTCACAGGGAAAGGGAAGGGAAATAAGAGGTCTAAACTTGGTAAAGATTCCTTTTTCCAGAATAACAGTTGTTCCAGTTCCCATGTCAGAGGAGTAACAGAGAGCTGCAGCCATTGTAGTTCCCATTTGTTCTGCCCATGGAGCTGCTCTCATCACCATCTTCCTACCCTTGGGGCAGCTGAGACAAGGCTGTCATCCGATAGGGTCTTGGCAGCCACCCATGGTGAGCTGCCTCTGGTGTAGTTGAGGAATATCCCCATGTGCCATCCTCTCCCGATTTCATTTGGTGCTGTCTCCCAACCCCTCTAGGAATACATTGTAAATAGGAATAAGAAGATTGAGAAGCGGCGTCAGGAACTGATGGAGAAAGAAAGCACAAAACCCAAACCAGATCCTTTCAAAGGTGAGTCGTGATCCTAGGGGGCTTGCTGTTCTGCAAGGTGCTAAGGCACATGGCTCGGTGCAAAACTAGCACAGGGCTGCTGAGGATGTGATGTGAAGACCTGTGGGAGGGGCACTTAGCAATGGAAAGAGGCTCTCAAGTGTGGCCTAATACAGATCTCAGCTCTATAGGCAACTTATCAGAGTGATAAGGGCTCTGCAGTTGTTTCCTCCTTGGACTGAAGGATGAGAAAAGTTGGAAGTAATAAATTTCCCTGTTTGGAGGCTGATTGTTCGGACCTTACACCTGCTAGAAGGCTGATGATGCCTGTCTCAGAGTTAACTGAATCCCTAGAGAAGGCTGTAGGGAGAAAACGTGGGCCTCGTTGGGGGCTGGGAGGAAAGCATCACATGCATGCTTTCCCACATGACTTGGGTTTCATCAACAGGGATTGGCCAGGAGCACTTCTTCAAGAAGATTGAGGCTGCTCACTGCCTGGCTTGCGACATGCTGATCCCCGCACAGCACCAGCTCCTCCAGCGGCACCTCCACTCTGTCGATCACAATCACAACCGCCGGGTGAGTCCCCTCCTGATGCTGGCTCAGGGGCAAGCCTTCCCTGGCTGCCAGTGGGGGGTTTAGAACCTTCTGTGCCTTACAGGGAATGCTAACATCTTTAGGGGCTCCTGCCATATTCCATCAAGTCTGTCACTTCAATTGATTGTACAGTGCATCCCAGCTTCTGTTAAAATGTAAGAAAATGTTTTGCTTAGGATTCATTAAATACATAGCTAAAATTGTCCTGGTTTGAGAATGTTCCCTGTAAACCACCCAAATCAATCCCCTATTGCTGAAAAACAAGATTTCTATAAATTGAGGCCAAGGGCCATTCAGAGCAGAGTGGCCTAGGGGACCCATTTGGTCCTTACTAGTTGATGGGGCCTGAGGCTAAAAATTTAGTTCATGGTCAGCAAATTTTTCTGTTAAAGGTCAAATTGTAAATATTTTTAACTTTGCAGGCCATAGGGTCTCTGTCCAACAAGTCTGCCATTGGTGGGCAAAAGCAGCCATAGATACTAAGTGAAGGAGAGGTGTGGCTGCACTTGCCCACTGGCTATAGCTTGCTGATCTCTGATTTTAACATCTCTGTCCTTAGTTTACCCAACGATGAAATGGAGCTCTCAATACCTGCCTGCCCATCTCCCAGTTTTTTGTTTTATTTTAGAAAGTGGGGGTTAGGGGGTGGGGAGGGACACACATTGATTTGTTGTTCCACTTATTTATGCATTCATTGGTTGCTTCTCGTATGTTCCCTGACTGGGGCACATACCCGATACACCTGCAACCTTGGTGTATCAGGATGGTTTTCTAACCATCTGAGCTACCCAGCCAGGCCTCCCCATCTCCCAGTTTTACTAAAACCAGCCAGAAGCACTGTATAAACAAGAGATTACTATATGCGTGTCAAGCTGTTTTTGAGCATCCATACTTTTGCTGTTGAACTTATAAAATTAATATAACTCAAAACTGAAAAGAAAAAGCTTACTCCTTTTCCTCCTTAGTTTACAGAGCTAATCTTTAAATGCTCATTTCATCCTTGCTTATGCACATGGTACCTGGACATCAGAGGGGTGTCTGTGGTGCTTATCAGACTTTTCTACACTGTTGCACGGTGTCAGTTCCAACGTCTGTAGTGCCTTCTTTCTCTCACTCCTGGAGTCTGGCACTTTGGGATTTGCCTTATTGAAGAAAGATGTTGGTCGTCTCTGCATATGGCTGATCTCAGGGCAATTCACTATAGCCTGGCTGTGTGTTCTCTTGCCCCTTTATATGAGCCATTTTTAAAAGCCCATTTTTGGTTCCCTTTGCAGTTGGCTGCTGAACAGTTCAAGAAAACAAGTCTCCATGTGGCTAAGAGTGTTTTGAATAACAGACATATAGTGAAGATGCTGGAAAAGTACCTCAAGGTTAGGAGTCCAGTGGACGGGAAAAACCTTTGAAGTGGAGAATGAACTACGAGTATGGAATTGTATCTCGAGCACAGTATTTAGCATTTCTGAGTCTTGAAGAATTGAGGACTGTTGGAATGTATCAGGATTGGGAATTCTACAACTGTGGAGAGAGTCAGCACTATTGTACAGATTAATCAAGCAGGGCCACATCCCAGAGGTGCCACAACCACTGAGCCATAATGACACGAGCAGAGTAATAAAAAGTCCCAAAGAGGGTGCATGGGAAAGAAGCTGAAGAGCCCCTGCCTGGTTCCTCCTTGGGAGGCCCATTTTGCTAAATGCTCAGCCCCATGACTTCAACTTCGGCTGGTAGCTAAGGTCCAGCATAGCTGGCAGGACCTGTCTGCTCTCCTCTCAGTTATTAAATGCTTCAGTATTTGGCAATTCATTCTACCCAATAAAGGCACAGAATCTAACTATAGCAGGTTCTCGAATAACATCATTTTGTTCAATGTCATTTCATCATAATGTTGATGAGATATCACAGGTATGTTGATAATATAAACAATTGATATAATTGTTTATATCAGTTAACCTATGGTAAAATTGGTTTTTACATCGTATACCTCATTTATCCACAGTTCCAAGAACCTGTTGATGACATTAAGTGAGGACTTACTGTAATCAATTTAAGAACCATGACTGGTCAGTGTTTTACCTTGTGGCTTAAACAGATTTAAAGTCTCTGGAGTCAGGTATAGACTCAAAATTCTAATCAGCATATTTTAAAACACGTTTCTTAATCTGGTAGCGATAATATTTAGTTTTCTTTTTCTAAACTAGAGACAATTTTAGAATACGCTTGTGAGAAGTTTGGCTTCTGAGGAGAGTCAGAATTGGGTTTGACTCCCGACTGATGTTTAATAGCTGTGTGACCTCTGGCAAGTTACTGATCTTTGAGTCTCATTTCCTTGTCTGTAAATTGGGGATAATCCTCATGCCAGAGCTCTGAGCTTAAATGAAACTAAAATTTAAAATAGTCTTAACTTCCTGTTATGAGACTTTCAAACATTTTTGGTTTAGGTCTAGGTCTTTTGGAACTTTTCCTGTGGTTATGCGCTTGAATGAAGAGTACAAAATAGCTCTTGCGAAGCTTTTCGGAGATGTCTTTCTGAATCTGTAGGGTCTGAGAACCTGTAGGATTAACTCACCTGGTGTAGTTTAAATTATTTCTGTTGTCCTGGCCAGTGTGGCTCAGTTGGATGGAATATTGTCCCATGCACCAGAAAGTTGTGGGTTCAATTACTGGTCAGAACACATGCCTAGGTTTTAGGTTCAATCCCCAGTAGGGCGCATATGGGAGGCAGCAGATCAATGTATCTCGCTCACGTTGATGTTTTTATCTCTCTCTTTCCCTTCCTCCCTCTCTAAAATCAATTTTTAAAATAAATGAATAAAGTATTTCTCTTGTTGACTGCCCATCGTGAAAGCACGAACTCCAAGCAGCCTGGGTCTCCTTCCATTTCTCATTTGGACAGTTCTTTAGACTGCACTGATCTGTGTTTCTTCCTGGCCAGGGTGAAGACCCTTTCTCCAATGAAGCCGTTGATCCAGAAATCGAAGGAGTTGACAATTTAGGAGGCGAGGATAAGGAAGAGACACCTGAAGAGGTGGCTGCGGAAGTGTTAGCCGAGGTGATTACAGCAGCAGTGAGGGCAGTAGAGGGGGAAGGAGTGCCAGCTCCAGAAAGTATTGAAATGCTGGCTGAAGGGGAAGGCCCCGTGGACGCGGCAGAGGCCACTAGTGGTCCCCATCCAGAACAGCCACTGGAAGCAGACACACACTGTGGAATGGCATCTGGGAAGAGGAACGCTGAAGCAGAGGCTGGAAGTAAAGCTGCCCAGGCTAGAAATGAGGCTGTGGAGGCTGAAGGTGAAGCAGAGGCAAAAAGCACCGTAACAGTCACTGTTCCTGCCCCAGCTGCCGTGGAAGCCGAAGTGGAACAAACTGATGCAGAATCCAAAGATGTTATTCCCACAGAATGATCCTCCTCTCCCTGTTTCAAGGAATGTGTTAAATGATGCATTGCTCTTTCTCCTTTGGTTTATAAGTAGTACTAGGATTTGTGTTATTGGAATATACTGAAAACTTATTTTGGTGAAGAGACCCAGCTATTTCCTTCAGAAAAATGTACCTCATGGGCTTGTCTAATAGAGTTGAGTGGCTTTCCGCCTAGGTTTGAAGGCTGCAGAAGTACATTCCCCCAAGCAGCTGTTACCTCTCTACACTGCAGTTGGAATAATAAAAGTTGGGCAATTAGATTTTGATGATACTTTGCTTGTTAAATATAGCCACTGGCTGAATGCCCTTTATTCTTTTTTTATTACTATTTTTTCTGGGAGCAGCTCATTATTACTAGGATACATCTTGCTTTATAAATATATGTGTATGTATATTTTTTAAGTTTCAAGAATTTGCTTTGGCTTCAGGTTTTGACCTCTGCTTTTGTAGCTCACTGAATAGTGTTCTGATTCTCACAAGGTGTAGCAGAATCTTGTTAGCTTGTGATGTTGGTTTTGTCACATCAGTGAACTCTCAAAGGCCTGATGAATCTGACATAACTGCACCACTGGAAGCACACCCAGTGACCCCTTAAGAATGGGGACATTTTGCCTAGGGCATTGTTTCCCAACCTTTAATCCTTGGCAGATCACCTTCAGAACTTATCTTGCATGTGTTCCACCTCTGCATTACTTCAGGGTTTTTTTCCTTAAAATTGAGTTACTTCCTCTTAAATATAATTAAAAAGAAAACTTGATGTCACTCCCATGAATGGAAAACCAATATAAATAGCCACAGATAAGATGTTATCTGTAAAAAATGAATATAATGAAATAAACATTTCATTTTAAATAAATCCTCTTCCTTTGGAGATTTCTGAGTTTGTGAGAAAGGAAAACTAACATGTTAAAGCCAGACTGCCTGTAAATTTTTGAACTGTCACATTCGAGGAAGCATTGGCTAGTGGGAAAATATTTTAAAAGAGGTAGTAAAAATATTTGATGAGCATCTACTGTGTACCAGGTGCTAATTCATGATAAAAATAAGATGTAGCCTTGCTAGCATGGCTCAGCGGTTGAGCATCAACCTATGATCCAGGAGACAGGTTTAATTCCTGGTGAGGACATGCCCGGTTTGTGGGCTTGATCTCTAGTAGCGGGCGTGCAGGAGGCAGCCAATGAATG